ATCATATGCGTCTTGTTCGTCACCTGCGTCTCCTGGTCTAGTGCCTAGGGAAAATGTCTTTTTCTCTACTATATCAAGAAAATCTCGTTCGGATCTAAGCCGGTAAATTTTTCGAGAGCTAAATTTGGGTATGCTACTACGTTTGCCATCTTTGTTTAATTCACTCAATGTTTTGTTAACAATATATATAAAGGGTTTGGATGTGTTGTGTACTGATCAATTGTACGGACTGAAATAATTGTACTTAAGTTACAATGAAATTTGCTGGGTTCAATGAATACGAATTTTTGTTAGATAGATCAATAGTGCTATGGGGCTGTTTAAGCTTTTTTAAGATAGAAGTTATCTCTGGGGTATTGCTGCTGGAGAGAATGGTTAATTCGTGAATATTTTTGTGTGGGTGTTTGGACAAAATTGTGATTTGATCCTTTTGGATATTGGTGATATACCAAATAAATTTTGTGGATTTATTTTTTAATTTTAGTTTTAAATTAAATGCTGTTGTATTTACTTGATAAAAATTGGTCATAGCATTTTACATCATTTTAGGGACGTAAATGTTTATCTAGGGAATGATAAACAATATAAAGAATATTTAAATTTTTCTAATGAATTTGGAATGAAATTGTTATGTTTTTAATTTTTGTTAAGGAAAAATTTGTGTTTTTAAAAAAAAATTGGTTAAAATGCAATTAGTTTTGTGCTTGGGTATATTATGGTATCAGAAAGCAATCGGGAGTGAAGCAATTAATCGTTCTTGCGGTATATAAATTATATTATTTGGTATTTTTATTTGCTGAAGAATTGTGTCAATTTCTGGATTATATCGTCGAAAAAAGACGTATAATTCGTGTTTATTGTCATTTGGGTGCTTTGCTAGAATACTAATATGATCTTTTTCAGTTTAAGTGATATACCATATGATGTTAGAGACTTTATTTCCTAATTTGAGTTTTAAATTTATTGTACTGACGTCGATTTTAAAATGTGTTGACATTAATTTTTACGATGTTTGTTTTCTTTTTTTTAAGCTAAGTTGTACTATTGGATTAGTATGTTTTAGAATAATGAAAACATCCTAGGAATTATTGAATATTAACAAAGGTTATTAATAATGAAATAAGAAAATAAAAAAAATACTTTGGAAAAAAAAATTTCTAAAACTTTTTTCCAAGTTTTTCAAGTTTTTTGTTGGCTGAAACGTTAACTGAAACCTGAAACTTTGTTCAAGTGAAGTTTATTGACGCTATGGTATGGTTAACAATATAACTATATGCCTTTTATGATTATTGTTAGCTCAAAATTTAATTTTTTTGTTAAAATTTTTACAAAAACTTTTGACTGAAACGATAATCTGAAACCTGAAACTATGGTAGCTGAAGTAGAGATCTTTTAATTTTAAAATTGTCTAGAAGGTTTAGTATACCTGGTTTTTGTCTTATCTTGCAAAAAAATTCGAGAAAACCGAATCTTTTGATATCTTAAACTTAGTTTTTGAAATCTCAAACCTAAAACTCTTAAACTCTCTCAAACTCGATGAATGAATTAAAAAGTTGGTTTTTGATAGCTGGTCTAGTGTAAATTAGAATTTGGAACAGATTTGTAACTTCAAAATCAAAAATTAGTTTGCGGAAACGTAAGTTTTTGGGGCTGAAACTATGATTTCTAGAACTGAAACTATGGTTTGACCACTTGGATTTAGAGTTTTGAGATTGGAAATATAGGTTGGTCTTCCTAATATATTTCTATTCCAGCAAAAAAATTGCCAAAAAAATGAAAGTTTCAGCCTAAAACGACAATTTCAGTTTTCTGAAACTAAAAGTTTGAGGGCTCAAACTAACACTTTCTAGAAGTTTTTTGAGTTCAAAAATTTGTTAGTGCATTAAGGATTCCTATTATTTTTCAATATTTCACAAAAATTTTACTTGGGAAGCAAGATTTTTGGGTCTGAAACCAAAAACACCCATTCTGAAACGTATGTTTCAGCCTTAGGAACCAAATTTTAAAATTGGTTTGGTGGGTTTTAACACCGTTAGTTTTCTCTAACAAGTCAAAATTCAGCGTTCGGAGCTCAATTTTGAGACCAAAAACTCAATTTTGGTGTTTTGAAACCTGAAACTAACAAAAACTTACCATTTAAGACCAGTTTTTTGACTTATGGTATCCAAATTTGGGTTTGACTAGTTCAATTTTTGCTGTTTTACCCAAATCCAATGACAGAAACTTAAAATTTTGACCGGAAACTATACTTATTTTAACTGAAACGTTTGACCCTATAACTGAAACCTAGACTGAAACCAAAATTTTTGGCTGGTAAAAATCAATTTTTTAGTGCTTAAGCTATCATATGAAACCTAGTTTATCAATATAAAGTGGATGTGTCAGTGTTTTAAATTTTGTTGTGAAACCTAATTTTTTCGTGCTGAAACTAAAACTTGATGTTTGGTGTTATATGGCTAACGTTTAAGATTGGTTTTAGTGCGTATTCTTATTGTTTATTAGGTGTATATTTAAATTGTGTCATAAAAACTAATGATTGATTAAAAAACACCCAAATCCGTTCCTTCCTTCGTGGTTTTTGTTATTTTCTTCCTTAGTTTCAGTAATTGGTAGCTTTACTGATGGATGATTTAGGTTTAAGTTATGTTAGGGTGGATAGAATTAAAATTACGTTAAGAAAAAATTAGGATAAGCCTCGAGAAATGATGAAGGATTAGAATAAATAGCAACAAGCGTGGATGGTTTGAGATAATGTGATGAAGAATTCAATTTATCATACAATTTAGGGTACTCTTAGATCGCACATATGACCACTTAACCCCCTCGAAAAAATAAATGAAGATATTTAATAAGTTTTTGAGCACTTTAGTTTATTACAGAATTTCGTTAAGTTTAGTGATGATAACTTTAAACTGAAGTTCCGGCATAAACTTAGTGGATTACTGGACAAAACGGGTATATCTTATTAGCGGACTTAGGCAGAGAACGATTTTTTCAGAAATTTTATATATCATTATAATAATAGATATTAGTTAAGTTCATGGGCTAATGTCAGTTGGAAAGCCGTATAATAGACCTCGAGATGGAGGAATATCGTGGGCGACTGCTAGCGCAGGGGATACTTATCGCAAGAACCCTACTAGGAATATCTGTCAAGTAGAAGACAATGAAATTGTGTTTCTACCGAAAGATACCCATTGTCTCTGGCTTTTTGAGGTTGGAAACTAATCTGACAAATACTCACAGATCCTAATATTAATATATTTTTTTTGAACTTTAAAAGCAGTTTCGAGTTTGTTGGAAAAGGAATTTCTTAAGGAGTAGTTCTCTGCTGCGGTCGCACCAGTTTTACTAAGCGATCATTGCTGGTTGAATGCTTAGTAATTTTATCCTAAGTTATAAGTCTCACCTTGAATCGTCAAATAGTTAGAAAAGGTATGAATTAATTAGTTGCTTAAATACAAAGCACTGGGTAACTAGATTATATAAACGAATCGAACAGCTTAAAGAAATATACCTATGAGGGGAGGTTGAGTTAATCTTATTTTGTTCATCCATTTTTTATCTTCTTACTAAGGTCGATGACTGAGTAGTATTTCTTGGGTTGCCCTTGATTTTTTCCACTTGGCACTTCTGGTTTGGTTGTCAGTTTCGCCTTGCCGTAGTCCTTTGGGTACTTGTAGTCCAGACTTCCTCAGGTGTGGTTATCTCGAGTATCTCGATTTATAATTTTATCGAACTTAAAATGAGAATTTATTCTCTATTTTTTTTTTTTGTGAAAAAGGCTAGTTTAATTTTACTGTAAAGGCAGAAAAGGAAAATTATTTATTTTTTGAAAAGGTCTAACTGAAGAGATCTAACTTGCTGCTTACTGAGCAAAATGAAACACTGAAGATTTCAGGCCAGTCCTTTTGCTCGTAAGCATAAACCGGCGGCTGATTCAATCTTTAATTATTCAGGTTTCACCTGCTCCTTTGTTCTCCCTATCTTATAAGGGAATTTTTCAACTAGTTTTTATTTGATTTTTTTTCAAGTAAAATATCTTTAACTTATTAGTCCTCTTTGATAAAAACCGCAGCCTTCAGTTTGTCTGATTAAAAATTCATATAACTCTCTCTGATGCATCATATTGCAGGTGCATCTCTGCTTAATCAAAGCAAGAAGAATTTCAGTGCAGCCGGCAAGACTGCTAAATATTGATCCAGTTTGTTTCAAGTTAAGTTAAAATGGACGTATTAATAATCGCCGCCCTTTTGAAATATTGAGCAAGAAAAAATGAGAAAAATTGGACAAGTATTTAAAAAGGAGTGGATTTTCAAAACAAGATTTTATACTCCTAATAAGAGTAAATCAGTCTTTAATTTAAAAGGCACGCTCCAATTTAGAATTGGGTCGTTAAATAAACAATTAAGACAATGGTCTTTTGTCTGTGTAGTATTTCTCAATACTACAATATTTTGTCTATAATTCTTTTACCAAAAATATTTGAAGCCGGTTAAAGGTAAGACATAACATGAAGGGTTTTGTCCTGATAAGAGCAGTCTTGCAATTTTAATTTTGGAAAAAGAGGAGAAGTTATCGTATATTGAAGCAAGAATATGCAGGTAAAAAGTACCTTTCCATTCAAGCAGTTCAAAAAAGCATAGCGCATCTCTTTAAACAATTACAGCTCCAATTTTTAAAGCTAGAAAAATTATTTTGCCTACAAATTGACTAAAATTTTGAGCTGTTTTCTTTTATCGTGTATTTCCATCTTCTGACGATTAAAATGCTCTGTTCGCTTTTTCGTCTCCGTGCTCCGTGCTGCTCCGTATGCTTTTAACGTTTTAGGTGTCAATTAAGCTTCTATCAATTTGCATTTCCATTCTTAAAAATGTTTTCATAGCACTTATTTACTCATGCATTTTTGATACTTAAGAACAACGGCTAATAAGTCAGCGTTCTAGCGAAGCTAAAATAAACATTCGAGTGTGAAGTCAGCACAGCTGGTGTCTCATTCGAAAGTTTATTTAAACTTCGTTACAACGTTGACTTAAAAGCCATTGGCTTTAAGTATCAAAAATTGAGCAAATCTACAAAAGCATATCATAAAAAATCATAAATATGACAACTAACAAAAAGTTTGACCCTCTGAACTTTGTTTGCGATGAGTTCTCGGTGGTGGAGATCAACGAGTTCTACGAGATATTCACGTCTGCGGATGATGATGAAAGTATGACTGTCGATGCAGATGAGCTGCAGAGGTGTCTCCGAATCGCAGATCCAGTGAGTTCAAACTTAACTGCTGTTTGCTATTAATCTCGTTCCGACGATTACTGATTCATTTATAAAACAGAGTAAAATCTCGGGTTCCCAAGCAGACATCATAACTCGTCGGAAAACACTTCACACTATCTAGCCTTTAGCAAAAACTCTATAAAAGTTTTAGTAAAGACTTTAGCAAAAATTTTACGCATTTAGTAAAAAATATATAGCAGATCTGATGACTACAAGGCGGTCAATGGGTACAAAGTGTTTTTTTCTGAGAGGGAGTTTCACAAGCTGATTAAGAGATCTTTTAAATTGGGAATTTATCTTTGTGCAGAATATCAGTCGGAGGGAATTGGCTGAAATTATAGATGAGGTGGACACGGATGGATCAGGCGACATCAGTTTCGAGGAGTTCCTGGACATCATGAAGAAACGCAAGTACCAAAACTTCGAGGAGGAGGAACTCAGGGTAAGTCAGGACCGTTTAAATTTATAAGAGATAGGATCAAAGATAGTCAGTTTATTTTTCGAAACCACCAGCAACTTGTAGTTGAATTTGATGTGCTATTAGGTATTTTGCCAAGCCATCTGACCTTTCCAAAAAAAGCTCAAAAACGTCGATAATTTTCTAATCGGGGTTTGCCTATGTTTCTCGGTTTGATGAAAAAAATTACTCTATTTCAAAGGAAGCGTATGTGCGCTTTGATTTCATTTGGAAAAATTTTTGTTGTTTCAGGTTGCCTTTCACAGCTTTGATAAAAACCGGAGCGAATTCATAGAAGCAGACGATGTCAAGGTAATACAAACATTTTTTGGATTTTACCCCTGTATTTTATATTGCTTTTAACTGGTCAGTTATAGGACCCTCTAAAATATGGTGATAGCAAGTTTAAAAAAATTGAACGTAGTCCTCATAAATGTCTTAACCAGGACAATCTTTGGCTTTGCACAGACATGGAATTTGTGATTTGGAAATAAGCATTAGCCACAACAATTACATATGGGAACGGTGGTGAATTTGTTACGTCTCCGCCGTTAAATCGAAAGGTCAGATGTTCGAGTTCTATCATGATCCGTGCTCGTTGTTCAAGGGTGCCCAGCCCAGAAAGATAACCAAAAAAAACTGCATGTATATAATAAACAGGTGTACAACAGCGGTTCTCCGCGATGAGCTGAACCTGCTCATATATTGGTCCTTTTCCTTGTGGATAGCTCGTCGTAACCGTAAACTATATTTTAGCTTAAAATTTTTGCACACATATTGAATTGAAATGCATTGGCAAACAGTTTACGTCATTTGCAACCCTTTTAACAATAAATTTGCTTTTCCAGACCAAAGATCGTACGGCTGATACCTTATTGCGCCCAAAAGCACGCAGCCAAGCCGAGATTTGCTTTGTTCGCGACTCTTGTATGGTTTCCAAAAATGTAGAATTTTCAATGCAATATATGGCAACTTAAAATATCAATTTCAATGCCATTTGGCAACATAAAACATCGCATTTTTTTCTCAAATTATTTTAGTTATAAAAAAAACTTCGCACCAGAAAATTGCATTGAGGAAAAACCACTTGAGGTTTTGAAGCCCACGTACATACAAAAACTTACAAAAATTTACCGTTAGCTTAATGTTTTCAAGTTGTTGAGCTGGCACATATTTGGCGGGAAAAGGAAAGAAAAATTATTTTAAAATTTGAATTATAACTGAAAATTAAAAGACCATCCGCGGTTTTTAATATTTTAACGAAAGAAAGGTTCTCAGCGCTCTAAAAATGAAAGCTATGCGGACGTTACATAAAATTCAGATGATTGGCATTTGAGTCTAAAATTCCAAAGTGAAAATCTTATATAGCAAATATTTGAAGAAATTAAAATTTATAAAAAACCGATCTATTATTAACTTAAACTCCATGCAGAACAAGAAAATTCGTATCACGGTAAACCTTCAAAACTTCGATTGTAATTAAAAAAATCTTGAAGAGTAGTTTTTGGATAAATAATTAAATAGTTTTTACAATTATGTTTTACTTAACATTTTTTCAAACATTCTTAAGCCTTTCACACAATGAAATTTAATTTCAAAAAAGATAAATTTTGCGTCGAATAACGCAGCAATACACACGACTGCTTGTATTAGGGCACAGCCCTGAAGATTCCCTTTAACTGCTCTTTAACTGGTCTGAACTTTAGGTTGAAACACTTATGGACTTGAAAAAACCAATTAGTTTTTTTTGCCTCAATTTAGCTTGAAACGACTTTGTAGTGTGGGCGGGGGGGGGATTTGCCAGGAGTAAAAAATTCGCTTTATACTTTCAGCATCGAAGTATAAAACCAGCAGTTTAGGTTGACTCGTGATTGCTTGATGTATTGGTGTGCGCAACGGTTTAGGCCCGCGAAGATACATACATCGAGGCCAGGGAAGAAATGGTCTTTTGAAAATTGGTCTGAAAGAAAAAAATAGGAACAAAATTTAAACCAAGCCTTGATTCAAGCGTCACTTCTTTTTTGATCGATTTCTGAGCAAAAACTTTTTCGACGTATATATGCCATATTTAACTTAAGCTAGCCAAATTATCAATTTACAAGCCTCCTTAATTTCCCACACTTTAGTTTCATAAAAACGATAATAACAGAAAAAAGCTGTCTAAAACGTTGACGTTAAAATCCAAAAACATAGCAATTTTAAATCATAAAATTGAATATGTTGTCCCTATAATCGAGCTCTTTTATAACAATACAATCAGTTAAACTCCATTTAAATGGGTTACAATCGACTGATTATAACGAAAACTCCGATTGATATTAACAAATATTGAATCGCTTTTGGATAAATCGAAAGATAGTTTTTTAAAGTATTTCTTTATTCAAAAATTTTTAAAACTTTTAAATAACGAAACTTCCAGTATAAAAAGATAAACTTTCTGTCAAGTAACGCAACAAGAAACAAAACTGCTTGTATCAGGGCAAAGTTCTGAAATTTCCCTTTAACTGCTCTTTAACTGGTCGTTAAAAATTGTTGACCTATGAAATGTTCACAAACTATGAACTTTAGGTTGAACCGCTTAGGGAATTATTAAAACCAATTAGTTTATTGCCTCAACTTAGCTTAAAACGATTTTGTAATGTGGGGTAATTTTCCAGGCGTAAAATATTCGCTTTATACTTTCAGCATCCGTGCAGTTTTGGTTGACTCGTGATAGCTTGATATATTGTTGTGCGCACCCGCAGGGGCCCGCGAAGATACAGACATCGAAGCCCCGAGAAGAAATGGTCTTTTGAAAATTGTTCTGAATGAAAACAAAACCCCGAGTATACAAAAAATCCTCACTTTCTTCGAAAATCCGAACAATATTTGAATCAATCCTTGATTCAAGCTTCAGTTCATTTTTGATCAATTTCTGAGCCAAAACCTTTTCTGCGTATTTAAGCATTTTAAAAAATTGAAAGAAAAGCTAAGAAATATTTAGCGCAAATTAGCCAAATTATCAATCTATAAACCCTCTTAATGTTCCACACCGTATTTTCATTGATAAAAAAATAATAACTAAAAAGAATTGTCTAAAATGTTTTCCTTATAATCCAAATTTGTTGCAACTTTAGACTATGAAATGGATTATATTCTCATTATAATCAAACATTTCTGTACACATACAATCCAATATAGTCCATACAATTGGGTTATAATTCATTTTAAATCCATTATAACTGATTATAGTTTTTCCAAAGATATTTGCAAAGCTGTGATCAACTTCTGCTATATTCACGGCCTTCTCGGATTCTAAACCTAATCAGTTTTTTCATAAAATGCGCAAGTGCACATTTACATTTGGCCCATCTCCCTATCCGTCTACGTGTTCACCACCTCCACCCCTGCAGTGCCCATTCACCCCAACGCCCCCCTTTTTCAGCGTTTGCACTTCCCTCAGAACCCACCACCATCGCCCCTTTCCAGTAAATATGGAAGGGGTGGGTAAACGGAAGGGGGAGTATAGGTGAGGGATTGTAATAGTAGGGGGTTTCATTTGCTGCAGGGTCGACAATAGACGTAAAATGGAATTTGCAGAGCAAATGAAGCTCAGCAAAAAAATGAAAAACTTCAAAATATATGGGAATTTTGTTTTATCTGAAGTATTGAGCCAAAAAAAACTGATAAATTTTGAATATACTGCACTGTGTTTGAGATTTCCAAAGAAAAAGATTATAAGCGGGAACAATAAATTGAAATGTTGAAGGGCAGTAAAACAATTCAAATCTTCACCCTGATACGAGCAGTGTATTTTGATTTTGATCAAAAGGCGGGCGTCAATATTTTTCAGACTGTACAACCCGGGCCGAGGTCTGCAATTCATGTTGCGACCAAATTGGGTCGCTGAAAAGGTTTTTCTGCTACCGAGATTCCATACTCCGGCAGGAGGCTTTAGTCGCACAAAGTAACACCCTGGGTCGCAAAAAGTCCCAACATATGTCGCGCAAAGTCGCAACATAGGTCGGGCAAATTTGCAACATGGGTCGCGCAAAGTTGCACCCTAGGCCGCAAAAAGTCTCAACATATGTCGCGCAAAGTCGCAACATGGGTCACTCAAAGTCGCAACATGGGTTGGAAGCAAATTGCAAAATAGTCCAGTATAAATGCATTTTAAACATTAGTAATCTAGATCAATATGATTGCTGATGATATACAAGACCACGAGAAGGCTACACGAGAAGGCTACACATGATCCCAAAGTAAAAACATTAGCAAACTTTTGGGCGCAACAACAAAGTTATTAACACAAAAACTTATTCAAATTTACCACCTAGAAACCATTCAAGTCAAACATAAATCAGAAAATTTACAAGCTCATATCATAGTTACATTATCGGTCGTGCCACATCGGCTTATTTCAAACCGAAATTGCCTTGACGCACCGAGAGTTTGAATCTGGAAATTATGGACATGAGACGCGCAGTGGGACGCAATAGTCAAGATACCAAAATTTGGTCACGAAAAACTGGACATAACAAACTTTGGTCGCGAAGCTCCGAACATGTGTCGCGAAAGTCTGGACGCACATTTTCCAGACTTTCGCGACTTTATGTCCAGACTCTTGAGACCACGTTTGGTATTTCCAGACTTTCGCGACGAATTTTTGGTATGTCTTGACTATCGTGACCCACTGCGCGACTACACTCGAAATGGCTTTTCCGGTCGAAAAGCTTCTCGGTTGAGAAACATCTTGTTCCAAACACAGTCAAAATCTTTTTTCTCGGTTAAAATTGTTCTCGCCAATCGAACTCAATCGAAATGTGTTTCTTTGGTCAAACGTGGTCAAAATGTCAAAATGTTTTTTTGGTCGAGTAAAAATGCGCAAACTTTTCGGTTGCGCAAAATGGCAACATACCCAATTTGGGTCGCAATGGTCGCAACATACCTTTTTTATGTCGCGCAAAACCGCAGCATATCTGTTTTGGGTCGCGCAAATTACTTTGGTTGTACAAAGTCGCAACATATCCATTTTGAGTCGCAATAGTCGCAACATACCTTTTTGGGTCGCGTAAAGTCGCAAAATATCTTTTTTGGGTTGCGCAAAGTTGCAGAAAAATTCCTCGGTATATATGTTCGCAATATACCCATTTTGCGTCGCAATGGTCGCAACATAAGTCTCCGACCTCGACCCAGGAAAATATTGGTCAAAAATTTTTAGTTTAAAAACAAAATTTCAAAGCACAAAGATTTCAGCTTTTTTTGAAAGTCATATCTAAACATTGATTCGTTTTACACTATACCACTGATATTGAAAGAAAGAGCAGCGGAGCAAAGCGTGGGCTCAGTCCCATGGAGAAAAGGGACCAAAGTGTGTTTCATCTGGAATTAGTTCATAAAACATTTATCCAACTCTTTTCAGAAGCTGCTTGCGTCTCTGGGTGAGAATATAAGTGAGGCAGACGCAATTGAGATGGTGCGGATAGCAGACACCGACGGGGACGGCAAAGTCAGCTTCGAAGACTATAAAACTTTCATTGAGTCAATCACTGATTACTAGAAGACTGGCGCTGTGTCGACTATCATAAGACTCGGCTAGCATAAAAGTTCATAGAAGCATAAAAATTCGACTATTCGATAGTGTTTTTCTTCTCAAGGATGACAAATGAAAATGATCTTTTAAAAAATGTATTCATTTTGCTTAGAAAAGCAGGAAGGATACTCCGAGCATTGAATCAATTTATAATCATGCAAACAACGCGAATCAAACAAGTAAAAACGCAATTGTTCTCAAATTTATGAAATTTATATGGAGGGAAACGGCAAAATATAGGTAAAGAAAAGACTCAGCTTGATGCTAAATTAAGTTGAAACTTTGTTTTGGGGACGGCCCCACATTAAGATCTT